TCGACGTTCGCGGATTGTACGGAGTATACTCACACAAGATCTAATACCAACAACTTCTATAGTATTAGTTCCGCGTAGACCAAAGGCAAAGCAAAAGACCACAATTGATCGTCCAAATTACGAGATATATTACCGGACCAAATCGGAGTGCGAGATGAATGCTTAGCTAGTTAGGGATCGTGCATGAACGAACGTGACACGACGGCATACCAAATGGCGTGGATGCTTGACCGGAAGCCTTCATCTGAACAAGTCGACTTAAACAGTGAGGGTCAGCACACAAAGTTCAGTGATGAGTGCTGTGGTCAATAATTTTGGGGAATTATTTACAGCTACACAGGTGTAAATCGCTTTGGCTGTGATACTTTTTCTCTCCGGACGGGACCGCTTAGCATAGTACTAAATCTCGAATGCGTTTTAGGATCGGCAATGAGCAACCTTGAAAGTATCTATGACTATCTTCTCTTTTGATGAAAGATAAAAAGTGTGGTTGGTAGTCATGAAGCAACCAACTGCCACTTCGTTTGATTTATCTTTAGTCTTAAAACACTTCTGTCCCTCAATTCGATAAGGCAATTTAAATTTCCTCACCTCCTGCACTATGCACAGTTTCCAGCCTAGTTTATCGCACTGTATCTCCTGTTCGTCCAGAATCTTCATATCTGATAGTTATCTTAAGTACGTATGACTCAGTGTTTTCCTATCGAGATAATGAATTAATACTTATTGTTTTTTTATATCCGGCCAGAAGTACGTAGCAATATTTTAAATATAATGCTGATCATCATGTTATGATTTGAAACTGAGAGGAGCGCACCCTTTTGCAGCCTAATCACAGAGAAGCTTGTAAGTACAATGGCTCAGGTTCAAAGAATATGTATAAATATGTCTATACATGATCAGTCCTACTGCAGGGGAGTAAGAGAGGGGATTCTCCCAATTGGTCACCCTTCGTCTCATTTTAGAACACCAAACCATGTTCACCATGTAGTTGGGCTGAAATCAGAGAAGCACATGGTTATAATCGTACTAAAATGACTGACTGACCTTATACTGACCCCTCTTCCGTAAGAGCAATGTCTGGAGGAGCTTGTGTGGAACATGGTCTGCTGTTGAAACGGTTCTAGTTCATCAAAACACGGAACAAGGCTATGAACTGAACTTGTATCCTGAATTTTGCAGGTGTAGTCACTAAGTGAATCTATTGCTGTAAAAGTTCCTTTGCATCGAATTTATAATCTCTCTCTTTAGATGATATATTTATTTATTTTTTTTCGATTGCAGCTTGATTCCACACGTATTTTGGGTACAGGTATGGAATTTTCAGCATAAATATCGGTAGCCAAAATTTTGCAGGTCGACCATAGATATCATGTGTGCGTCGGCAGGGAAAGGAACCCCGGACCATGTGAATGGTGGAGGAGAGTCCTAACCACTGTGCCACCCAATTCACCAGGTGATCCATGTGCTCTTTCATCGTAATATTCTTCCTGGTACCTGCAATACTTTTGAAGTAAATCCGTAGCTATTTAGTGCACCTTTTTCAGCCTTCTTTTAAGTTTGATGACGTGTTATGATGTCATCAGTGCATCCTCATCAAATGTGTTTGAAGTCAGATCAATAAGCAAGCTGAATTATTTGCGGTTATTGTATAATTAGACATTCAAAATGTAGTTTTGCAGCTGTATGCTCGGTGCTTCATTAAGCACTTCCTGAGAGATACGTCGCGTTCCCAGCGATCAGTTTGGTGTATAAATACCTAGAGAAGGTGATCTGAATGTCCAGCTGGTGCGTCCAACTAAACTACTTCCTCATTAATGATATGCAGTAGAGGGTATTTTCCTTATCTTCATTGTCCTATAGAGTTGGCTGACCATAATACTTTCAAGGTTTGCCCCTCGATCTAAGTGGCTCAACCTAGCGGTTGACACGATGACTGAATTGACAGAATCAGCTGGGGGAGTAGCAAGAGTATCGCACCATTTAGTGAAGTGGTTTTACATGATTAGTGTGAAGTGATTACTTCTGGAAGAGAACCAACTAAATCCCTTTGTGCCATGTCATTTGGATGGCCAGTTATAATAGGTTCTAGGGGCTCTTTATTTTACTTGCGTGAAGACTTAGAAGTTCGGCAGGCCTCTCAGGAGTCACAAAAATCTGCAGCATCCATTCTCTGAATAGGCCATCGGTGACATTTTGTAGCCTCCTCTATCATGTTATCTGAGCCCGCGAGGTAATACTGTGGAGTTGATGACAACAGTACTTTGAGTAATGCCATAAGTGGAGTCACGATTCGGAGAGTAAATGTGAACTCAAACTGTTTGACAGAGACCATAGACACCGAGTTTCCTTATCAGGCATAATAATTTCTTGGGTTGCAGGTTGTTCGCTTCCACTTCGAACACGTCCATGGATAACAGAGTGTTCAGTACTGATTGTTAATTAGTGGTGCTTAAAGTTCAACTTTGCCAACGGCTGTTTTACGCAGTTCCTCCTGGCTGTGTGTGGGCACTGGTGGTTCATGTTGCCTACAAGGTGAATTATTACCTGTATCAGTATGATGTTGAATCAGTTTACACTCTCCAGCTTTTTACATTCCAGTCAAAACAGTTCATGGAACTACTTGGCATCCTGTTGAAGTCGCACATCGTTTCCGAGGGTAAAAGTTTTACAGTCGTCGACATTTGCTGTTTATGATGCCTAGTGTCATTCTGTATGCTATATTTATCTTGTTATGATTCTTCTCCTTTTCAAAGACTAAATGAAGCCTTCGTCCATTATGAAGACCTTTTGGCCATGCAGATTTTACAACAGGTCAACCCCTCAGATTACCTGCAAAAGCACCCAACTGGACACTATGAAAGCATAACGAAATGAAGTCCCCAATTTAAGTAGCAACAGGGCTGCCATATCGAAACGCATGCACATTCCGCTGGCTGCTGTCAGCCAAACCAGTGAATAATTACTGTGGATTCAGCAGTCTCTGGCACACAAGCGCGTCTAGTAGAAAAAGCCGCTTCAGAGTCTAATAATTATACACCGCTGTTACCTTTTTACCCTGCAGCTTTTGGTGAGAAGCTAAGGCTGATTAAATTAATTATATTATTCCTCTATATCCAGATTTGGAAATAGGACTTCAGCAGCATTTCCTTATTCTATTGTAAATGTTTCCTTGAGCAACACCTTCAGAGAGTTCCAATGTTCTTTCATACAGGTTTTCTCAGAGATGCCACCTAGTGACTCCGACTTTGGTCTGATCTGATCTGTAGAGGAGGTATCGCCTGTAGTTTTCTCCTTCAGTTTATGAGAGTTGAACTTGAGTTTTGGTCTGTCTCCATTTGTTTTAAAGGCTTTCAGCATGGCTTCGAGAGTTTCCCTGAATAGATGATTCTCTGAATCCACATCTGCTCCCCTTCTAGACTCTGTGTCCATCAGGCTAGCTGCGTCCACACTTCCTCAAGCAACATTGAGAAGAAGTCTGTCTGGTTTGCGGTTTGTCCGTCAGGCGGAATCCATGTTGCCTTGCTTATATCCTCGTGCTTATACCCTCTGTCTCCGGCCACGTAGTCTTCGAAGGAGCAAAAGTCTGTGAAGAGTACCTCCTTACCATCCATTTCACCGAAAGCTTTTCGACTTATTATGATTTCTCTTCCTTCATTGCTCACTTACTTTTAGGTTCCATTTGGATTGCTTATAAGGGTTCGATATCACCCTTCAGGATCTTATCCATTAGGTTTTGCAGTTGTTTGTGGACATTTTCTTTTTTTCTTGCTTTGAATCGTTCGTAGACTGTCTTCTGAGTGAATGTTGTAGATTGCTGACATTATAGTTAATAAATTTGGAGAACCCACATCCATTCCACTTGTTCTCAAACATCCGTTGCGCTTCTATACGGCATTTCATTTCTTCAGTAATCTGTAAGAATTTCACAAAGTCGTCGGTGTAGGAACAAAACTTGTCCCCATGCTTATTACTCCTTCCATCAAAAATATCATCCGCTGACTGGTTTACCGAAGGTTTCCACAAGCCAATGTAATTTCGACTTTCCAAATCTGGCCAAAAATAGTCGTATTTTGAAGTTTATTTAGCGAATGGTTTGGTTTTATTGGTTTACATTTTCATGAATGACATCACGGGGTATTGCACCCATCATTTCCAAGTTATAATGTGAGCTCGATGACAATTAATGACCACTGGATACTGAGTGAACTTAAATACTCTTCCAGCTTGCCAGCAGTGATACCGAAACATGCAGCCTGTAGACGGAATTAACGGAAAGTCTGATATGAAAAGTAAAAGGGTTTTCATCTTAGGGAAAGATTTCTTGACCTATCAGATCTGTAAACTTGAGCTGCATGCCATAAATCTGTGGGTAATTATTAACGCGAATCAAGTACGTATAGGCGGAGGGGGTTACTTCAATGTGTACTTGTTCGGATAATTGCCAAGAACGCCTCAGGCACAAGGAGTTGAGCTAGCAGTTTATTTAGCTGAGATTTAATTATTTTAAGTAAGCATATTCTAGTTTTAGCTGCATTATGGGAGATAGAAAACTTCGGCACAAGGAAATTAAAACATTGTCCACATGCAAAGAGTATGGTGAATTAAAGTCATTGGACAGTGGGCAACGAAGAAGTTTTTCTATAGCGATTTCTGGTTCTGTGATGGGTGGTTTCTAATCACTGTCTTACTAACCTTTCCCCTGATTTATCCAACCTTGGTTTGTCCGTAATTTCTTGGAAGGAGAGAAAATGCCCGGTCATTGAGAGTTTGAAGGCAGATTGTACTGAAATAAGATCAGATTTATTCCTATGGTTAACCATGAGGATGAGTTTGGAACTTTCATTCTCATTCCTTAAGGAAGATACAAACTTTACTTAGCGCTGCCAGATTTCGTCCACTAAACCTGTATAGATCACTCGCAGCTCCTGGACAGATAATCAGAAGCCCCAAAATTACAGTCGATACCAGTCCTGACAGTTTGAAACAGTAACTTTAGAGTGGGAAATTTAGTTTGAAGGTCTTTTCTCTGGTTGGTTGCTGTGATACATGGAGAATGCAGTACCGGAATTTGCTCGTCGTCTGTATAAAGAATGGCGTGATTTTGTGGCCACGCCGATTGACGGAATCGAACTTACTCTGAATGAACAGGACATGACAGAAGTCCAGGTATGTTGCTATATTACGTCTACATTTTCAAGGCTTTGCTGGATGGTCCTGTAGGAACTCCATACGATGGTGGGAAATTTCGCCTCAAGATAGTCATTCCAATGCAGTACCCTATCGAACCTCCGAAAGCGTACTTCTGCACGAAAATATTTCACCCGAATATCGCACCAGCTACTGGAGAAGTATGCGTCAATACATTAAAAAAGGATTGGAAGTCAAACCTTGGCCTACGACACATACTTTTAGTAGGTTACATTGTGCCACTGATTTCTTAGACAATAAGGTGCTTGTTGATAGAACCAAATCCGGAATCAGCTCTTAATGAAGAAGCTGGAAAGCTGTTATTAGAAGATTACAATGAATTCAGGTCTGAAGCTCGGCTTCTCACAGAAGTTCATGCCTTCTGGCATGTTCGAGAGCAGTCCAAAAGCAGCAGTGGAAAGACTAATGCTGGCAACACGTAAGTTTAATTCACTTTGTACACATCATAAACACTAACTGCATAAGTGATAAGAAGTGTGCCTAAGAGCTATTATCAGCTGGTTATGCAGGTGTATTAAAATGACGCTTTATGGCGGCTATAGCAAATGGACCAGTCTTAGAGGAAGACTACTTCTTATGATTGACTGAGACGCAGAATAGAATACATTTCACTTATCCTAAAGCCGCATTAAAATGTCTTGTCGCCTGAATCAACGCTGATCGTAATTATTAACACAGTGGTGTTTTAATATGGTGATCAGAAATTGTTGTTTCCTTTAAATAGTACTATAAAGTATATGGGTGTCCACGGGTTCCAAAGGGAGCAAATTACATGGTAACCTGTGATCTGCCTATTAATATAGTATCTAAGTTTAGGACTCATCGAAATCTGAACACATGTCTGAGCATGACTGCAACAAGCCTAGAAGAACCGGACAGTTTTTAGGGTATGAGTCTAGGTACATTGGTCAGAATGTCACCCTCTAAAGTGTTTTGAAGTCATGCGAATTGATGTGCTGCATTGTATATGAGCTAGCTGGCTGGAGTTGCGTGAGGTCATATCAAACAATTGTACTGTTTTCACCTCCTTTTACATACGAAATAAGCGTGTGGTCATCCTCAGTCACTTCTAAGGTACGTAATCAAATTATGATGAAGTCAATCGTGGGTATTAGGTGTAGAGTATAGTAAAGAGAATGATTTGGATTAGCTGCTGCTTTGTGACTAAATTAAGACTAAGATGTATTATTGGAGTTAGGGTAAGCACTATGCTTGTATACAAAGTTAAAATTAATGCTTAGATGTGCGTTCCGACGCCCCTATAAATTTGCAGGTTGTTTTAGTTGTAATGCTCATGAACATAAGGGCAAAATATAGTTTCCTGATTGCCATGTGCAAGAATTTGGGAATTTTCTTTGTCAAGTGTAAGGTGATACATGAAAATTTTTTAATTTTTGGGTTGAAAGTTGCAGGTTTTGTAGTTTGGAGCTTGAAATCGCTTTGTGTGCCTTACTTTTTACGGTTGCATTCAAAAGCTGTTATGTACGTAATTATCGTGTCTTATGAAGGTCTGATGCAACCCTTATCGTCTAAATATATTACACGACACTCAATAAGGCAGGCATTGAAGTGTTTCAGGTTTAACTTTTGTGCAAATTTCTCCGATGTTAGTTCAGTCATTCAGATCAGTTTTGAAGACGTTTTACAGGATATTTATACTTTAATTATTCATTCTACATATAGGGAACACTTTTGTAATTTTCTGTATATATCAGCAAGCTTGCTGATATATTATAGTGAAATACTTTCCAGTTATGATATATGTATTCTTCTGGAACAGTAGTGCGTTCGAACTGAGTTTAAGCATAGAACTTTGCCTCGAATTGCAGAAGTTCACGTTATCGCACTACATGTACCACACACATAAACGGGATTCAAAAGAACTAAAATGAGCAGAAATGTACGAGAGAGAAACTAGTAACAAGGAAGAACATGAGGATTTAATGGATTTAAGAGTTTGCAAAGAGTGAATGCATGTGGGCTATTAAGAACTGTTTTAAGCCATATTATCGATAGTCTCCACCCATTGAATTCTAGCACCTAGAGGTCAACAGTCAGGCAGTTTATAAATGCACGGATGGGTTATAACAACAGTCAACTAAAACCGATCGTTTTTTCTCTTTCAAGCAGAAAAGGTAGAAACCTACTTATACAGTGTTACCACAAGCACTTATTTACTTACGCCTCTTGTATTAGCTCAAGATTGTATTTTGTTTCTCCTGATTGTGTTTACTTCAGACATGATATTAAATTCATATCCAAATTTTTATGATGATAATAAGCAGTTACAGTGTCTCTGAGATTTTTCCTTGAAGCCTTTGTGATAAATGATTGTGTTTTCCTTATTACTGTTTCAGGTCATCCAATTCATCTGATCGTACACAATCTAAAGTTGCTCAACATAATGCTTCCTCAATTCGGAAAGCGCTCAAAAGACTTTAATCCGTGGAAAACATGATATTTCTTGTCTTGAGGGTTGTATTGTGTTTATGTCACTTTGTGCATTTATGTAAATTATTTCGAATTTAGTGATTGCTGTGATTAACGTCTAGTTACCGTTATTTTCACATTAAAAGGGAAATTGACTCAGCAAGCCTTATAGACTAGTTTTGTCCCACAAATGAATGGAATTTGGGGCAGTGTGAGGAGCTCTCATGATGTTATTAGCAATGGGGAACTATAAGCAAGTCTTTTGTTTATGTCAAAGTTCTGTTTCACAATGAGCACCGTTTAAAGGACCGAAACATGATTCTGAGAAGTAGTCTGGATTCGTTCAAACGGACTAATAGTTGAAAGCAGTCAGAACACTAATTCGTAGGGACTGCTAACTGCAGTCTGTGAATAGGAATCCTGTAAAGAATATATTGAACCAGCATAAAACAGCTTAGCTCTTGGCCTGAACAGATAGTTCGAGTCCATCAGTCGACATGTTCGTTTTGTCAGCAGCCTTGTTTCGTAGCCTGAAGGTGGTGTTGGGTTCGATCTCCGGTAGAGTCATGCTGCCTACTGTCGAATGGTCCGAAAATAGGACGGGACAACTGTCCAACGCTCCTAAGTTTTGAATGATTTTCTAAGTGATGTTGGTTCGCGACAAAATTTACATTGAAGTTTATTTTATTGTTGAGAAAGTGCTGAATGCGTCTTACTCTACTGATTATTGAGGCTATCTCTGTACGGACAGTAAGTTCGTTAAGTAGTGGTTAATTTTTTAAAATCTTGACGTTGTCGACACGTACAGCTTTCAGTACAAGAGCGATGCGGCTGTACAGAAATCACCATATAACTAGATTATAATCGCCTAAAATATAAGGTTATGAATTTGGATTCATAATATGCTTTGTAGGATTGCTGGTATGTGTTGGCACCCTGGATATTAGAAATTTGCACTTAGGTGGCGGAAACAGTGAAGTTGTAGATATCTGTCATGACAAGACACCTATTTGAATGAAAGTAATGCGACCGCTGACCGTCAATTCATATTTAACTACAAGTTATCCTCAACAACTTTCTCTCTGTCATCTCATGTAATCGTTCAAATCTAGGCATTATCTTAAACAACTATGAATGAGTACGTGCGGAATATCACAAAACAACTCAGATTCAATTTTACTGAATTTCTTGGGAACAACCACGTACATACATAGGCATTTGGAATGAGACAAAAGGATGTGGCGGGCCGAAGAATATCACCACTATTTAAAGTATTACAGTTCCATATAAGAAGAAGAAACTGACAGTTTTATAGGCGACTCGTAATACCGTTTATTGAAGCAGTTGTGTTATTCAGCAACCACGTGCATACATACGTACCTGGAAGTGCTCTACATCTTTGTTGTGAGGGTTAGTTATATCAGCTAGCTGCTATATCTTCAGTAGGTAAAGTGGGTTTGAAATTTGTTAAAAGGGTGAATTATAATTGAGTACTTATTTCACAGAGCTAGTGCGTAGCTCTACGTTGATGCGTAGCAGTCTATAGATAACTAGAAGTATTAATTTACACCCACACTATTCAACCTAGATGCACTTTCTTATGTAACCCAATACAGCCGTGCCTAGTAGCTTTTCAGTTGTGGAAGTTAAACTGGTAAATCTAACAACTGTACTTGTTGGAGAATCACCCACGAACTGATGCATGAAAAGTGTACAATGATACCTTAAAATTGGAACTGGAAGACCAAAGGTTCCTTTGACTTTATTGATTATCCAATTTGAACAATTAGAAAAGATTACGTCGGTTATAGAGGAATTATTATTATTATTTTCAGAATCAAACGAAATATATATATGAGTTGATTGTATTTGGTAAAAAAAGGAACAAAGTTCTAATTTTAAGAAAAATATGCAGGTTTATCAAGAATGTGTGCAGAGGTGAAAAAAACAATCGAAATAATACACACTATACATGTGCTGTGATAATATGCATAAAGTCAGAAATCACAATTGAAATATGAGCACTTGAACGTTGGATAATGATCACGGTAAAATATTAAGCAAAATATGCGTGTAACGAACTGCTGAATATGCCTACGATGTTTGCTTTTTTAATCTATAAACAATTGTCTTAAACAATATTATGTGAATTTAGGATATCACTGGTGGCGGCGTCACTGGTCCAAATATTTCTTCTACATGTATAAGCAAGAATTCCACACATGGAGCCTGTACAGATGTGAGTGCTCCAAATGCAGCAGAATCTACTTCGGGCCAAAGTAAGCTGGGGCCAAAAACAATTGCTAATTTGTAAGAATGCATTTGATTCATTTCAGACAGCTGCATCACTCTAAAAATTAAACAGGTATGAACTTTAAAAAAAAAGAAATCTGCTAGAAAGACGTGTTACGAAAAAGCTTTTATTACCCTGGTATAATGACCCGTGCAACTGATTTGGCTAAGATTCCGTGTTTAGTAATAATTTTGTATGCATTCAAAACAGAATGTATCTCAGTGGATAAAGGCGGACAGCACCATTTGTAGTCTGTTCTCAATTGAGACTTGAAACTAGGAAATGTGATACATTCATGTTTTGTAGGCTTTTCCTGTTTACATACCGTCTGAAGTCCAAATGTTACTGTATGGGGTTAGCTGTACCAAAAACAACCAGGTAGATCGCCCAACCTCATTCAGAATCTATATCCACTAGTTCTGAAGTTTTCTGCCCTACATTTCACTCGACTCTTTTTAGAATTTATTAGAGTTCTGTCTTCCTCGGACATAGGTTCATTTACAAAAGCTTTCAGAGGGTTTATTCCTTTAGCAAGATGAGAAACTTTGAAGGTTTTATCTACTTTTCACGTCTTTTTTGTTTGCTTCCGTTACTCGTTAGTAGTGTTCATCGCTTCCTATAGGACTTGTAGTCAGCTAACGTTTGGGCAGCTTTTGCACCACGTCACATTTGGAGCTCAGTCTCTTAGCATCGATTATTTTGTATGTGAGGATAGAGTGACCCACTGGTTTTTTTCCAAACTATATTCTTTTTATTTATTTTTTTGTTTTGGCTTGATGCCACACCGTATTTTCAGTACAAGTATGGCATTTTCAGCATGGATATCGGTAGCCCAAATTTCGCAGGCCGACCATAGATATCGGGTGTGCGTCGGCAGGGGATCGAACCCCGAACCATGTGCATGGTCGGCGAGAGTCCTAACCACTGTGCCACCGACGCACCAGTTGTCTTCACAACAAAGGTTGCTATCATTCACAAATAAATATTCGATTATCTTCACAGTAAATACAGGTCTTATGTCATCAGAGAAAAGCTGGACATGTAAGGACTTAACAGCTACTCCCCACCTACGTTTGTTCATTTGTGGGCATACAGGTGTAAGGGCTAATGCATGGTCAAAGTTCAAGTAAATATCCCAGCAGTTGCCAATTTGTATCAACCATTATTTTTGGGAACAATCGTTTTATTCTATAACTCACCGAGTTACTAATATGCAAGCCTAACTACCGTGTCAAGGTTATAAGCCAACAATCGGGATATGCAAATCACAAAATGCTAAGGTTCATAATCTTACACAATCCTCAACTACACCTGAGGAGGAGTTCAAAAGACGACTAAGTGAAAATTGAGATGGACAGGACGTCTTGTAGTATGCTAAGTCAGTTTCCTTTAAAAAAGCACCAGCTGAAATATTATCAGTTTGGGAAGAAATTGGAGGTGAACGAGTACAGATATAGTGATATTCCGTGCAAAGAGGTATCTATTGCATGACTTATCTCCTAGTTACCACCACAACCCACGGTCAGAGATCAAATGACATGGCTAAAACTCGAGAGTACTTTGGCACGTAAAATCAGACTCTATTCGTTGGTCCACTCTATATTTTCCTTGCCTTATATCATAACAGAACCTTAGACTATACTGTTTCTGTTTGTCTATTCCTACCTTCTGTTTTGCTTACATATAAGGAGTACACAGCTACAACCATTACGCAGTAATGATACACCCTATATCGATGTTATCAGTTAGCTTTTCTTCTCAAAATAAAATTCCATTAAGTACTGGTCAGATATCTCAAAGACAGCAACATAAGAGTTTCAAACCGGTGATGATTTATCACATATGATCACTACACAAATCCCAAATAAATGTTTTTCTTGTTACTAGTAATTATTCAAATCTATATGATGGGTGTCCCAAGACTAAAAGACATAGTTTATGTTTGTTTTATTTAATATTAATGAATACAACTGGATTTCATTAACGAAGGCATACATCATGATATTAATGCTGCTTTTCAAGTAGTCATGATGCATGTGATATGTATGAATATTGAGAGAAAAATAAAAGTGTGACGTCCACATGAATACTGAGGACTACCTATATACCACCTCTTATTAGCTGACTTGACATTATGAGTATTAAATAATAACAAACGGGCTTTTTATTGAAAGCCTAATTGATGTAGCTACATGTATGGATGATATATTACGGGTTGTCCTTAGAATATGAATGCTCTATGAAATTCATGAAGCTAAGTAAATTTCAAACGTTAACAGAACTTGTTCCGCCTAATTTTTCTTCTGGAAATTCAAGCTATGCGTAAATATATTTAGATTACTTCGGTTTGGTGAGTAAACAGCAGTGGTTGATATGAGTGGGATCTGACTACTCATACCAATCAGTAATACATACCATCATGCTACGCATCAGCATGCTTTTGTGAAAAAATTACCCACAAAAATACGTCTAAATTCTGTAAAATGTATTTGTGAATTATCCAAAAGAAGAGGTAAAGTTCACGATACGATAATAAAAGTGATCATATTATTCATATAACTAAAAAATATCCAGTGTTGGTTTCCAGAGGTTTGATTGACTGCAGGATTGTTCGCGAGTTGACATCAGTTAGAGAACTATCGGAAAACCTGGGAGTACTGGGCATCGGTTTCGTTCTAGTTTGGGAGTCTTCAGCAGTATGTACCCACCATAGGGGTTCGAACCCATGACCTTCCGACTACGCGGCGAGCTCGTAGACCATTAAGCCACTGGGACTCGACCCAATGGTTCAAGAAATTCAACTTCTGCCAATTGTTTGGTAGTTAAAAAACACTGTCAACAGTTAATTAGGTCACTTACCTGTATAAATGAT